CTTATCGCATTGTTTATAATGTTCAATATGCAATGTAAAAATATACAAGGATGTCTGGTTTTATGTTAGAGCACACTATTCTGTACAGTCTGAGAGAAATGAGATATGATAACAGTAGGTACAGTCACCAAAATAATATAGTTTATATTTATACCTCTTGAATGACATTCTTGTAAGTAGTCGTCGCGTAGTATACCTACACTACATTTTGAAAGAATTCGTCGAGGAAAATACTGCCACCTTACCTATTTCTGCCGCCAAACAGTAATGTTAGCGTTAACGCGTTTCGGTTTTGAACGGTAAGAGTGCTGATAACATTACAGTCACATTGGACTTGTCTCAGTGTGACGGGCGCAGTGGCAGAGCCTCTCAGATCTTCGTGATTTAAAGCTGGGACTGGAATCGTTATGGACAGCACACGATTTGTTCGTCCCGTCCGTCCCTAGGTATCATAAAATAGTTAACATCCACCACAATCCAAGATACAAGTAGTTCTAATTGGAAATACATTAATAATACATAAATTTGTCTTAATGGTAATTAAAACATACGATACCAAAAAATGGAAAACAAATAGGCGGCATTCAATTAATATTACAAGTCGTAAATGTTAAAACGTAGAATCATAAAATTTAATTAATCCACTAAATGATATATAGTATATTCAATGCTGTAATTCAGTACACTTCTGTTATTTATACGACGAACTTTTAGCGTAAAGTATTACTATATTAAACTGCGAGTTAGACAATGAGCGCAAGCATTTAATGTGGTTGTTTTGGTACCACAAGTAACGAAATCATTACTTAATATTTAATTACTGGAATTAAAACGGTCTCGATGTACGGTTGCAAAGCTTGGACACTGACCTTGAAAGTATATAGTAAATAAGTTGTTAGTGGCGGAAATAATAATTTTGCGGAAGATTCAGGGACCGACTGATGGGGAGGATGGGAGCTGGAGGTAAAAGAAGAACATTGAAATTGAAGATCTCATGTCCAGGCCCATTATTGTGGGAGGAGCTAAAGCTGCGAGACTCCGTTGGCTCGAACAGGTGCAGAGAATGGGTGAGGATCGTGTGGCGAAGATACTTGAGACGACCAGGTGAACGCCAACCAGTCGGACGTCTTAGCTGCCGCTGGAACGATGAAATCCAGAAAGACATAAAGGACCTCGATGCTAATGGCTGGAAGAAGCAGGCTGAGAACCATGGCGTAGCAGAATGAAATGGCGTTGCGGTCACTGTGCCACTGAAGTAAAGTAAAACTTAGTTAGTGAATTATTAATATTATTATAAACGGACTCGCTCTCGTTTACGTTTCAAACCACAACAAAATGAACTGCAGTAAAATACAGACTTTCTGTAATAACGCTCAGTGGTAAACAAAAGTGCGTCCATTATGAGTTGCGGCTCTGAAGCATTTTCTGTGACGGGATACATAGATTTTGTGATAAAATTAAAAACGAGGATTGGTTGTTCGAAAAACATTCATTTTCAATACCTTAAATCCTGTTTTAATAAAGTAAACACGAAAAAACGTAAAATAATTAAGAAACTTTCATTACAATTTATTATTCTACCAAAAGAAGCTATGATAGATACTAAGTACTAACTATAAACGATCTAAAGCGCTGTTCCAAATAAGGAAGCAGTACTAGATAGATGCGTACAAGGTATGTAATAAGTTAACATTATGTTCGCATCATAGATGATAGTCATCCCTCGAGGGAAAATCTTAACATCGCTATTTAGAAATTGATAAAAATGTGCCAATGCCATCTAGCGGTGTGCGGCGGAACTATATTTGTGTAGTTACGTTAAGTGATTTTGTTATAGAAGTAATTAAAATTCTACAAATTTGTCACAATTTATTGAAACAAACGTCAAACGTAATATTTATTTAAATAGAATGAACTTTGGTATGTGAGCGTGACTGGGAATATCGTTATTTTCAGATTGGCAAGAAATAATGGGTACTAGTTGTTTCCTTCCTTGAAATACAATGGAACTTAAAAAAACAAACGTTATTAAAATAGAACCCAAAACTTCTAATAAAACCAAAAAAATTCTGCTTTACGACTTTAAAACATTGAGTTAAAAGTTCTCCGGCTTCCCGTGCAAACAAGAATCTGGAAAAGGTGAACCATTATAGGCGTTTCAGCGTATGCATGATTGAACACAAAGTTCAAGGAAATACAACGATAAAATACGGTTAAAAATTTTTTTTTTTTGCTTACCGGTATCGGAATCTTTAACCGGTAAGAAGTCAATGGTATTTGAGACGAAATTACCTGCAATTACAGACCGTGAACATAGTTTAGTAATCGTGTCCCACAATGTTTATTTTAGTTTAGGTAATAGTTGTATTGTATTATAGTGGGGAATATAAAATATTATTACTGTAAATTCATCATTATCATTTCAGCTAAAGACTCCACTGCTGATTATACGCCTTCCCCAAAGAATGCCACAACGACCTGTCCTGACCGCTTGCATCCAGCGGATTCCCGCAGCCTTCACAGCAGAGCTTCGCAGATCATCAGTCCACCTTGTGAGTGGTCTACCCATGTCGCGTCTTTCGGTACGCGGTTGCCACTCGAGAACTCTTCGGCCCATAGTGAATTTTGCAATTCTTAGGGTTATATCGATTACTCTGGTTCCCTTGGGGAGATCCTCATTAAAGATTCGATCTCGCAACGAAACTCCAAGCATAGCCCTTTCTGTTGCCTTTTAAGCGACCTTGAGCCTTCTTTTGAGGCCCATAGTGAGCGACCACGTCTCAGTGCCGTAAGTCATCACTGGCAACACTCACTGGTCGAAGACTTTGTCTTGAGACACTGTGATACTTTGGAAGAAGATATGGCGTAATTTCCCGATCGCTACCTAGCCGAGTCGGATTCGACGATTGACCTCTTAACTGTACATTATACCAATGTATTCGTGAAATATACTTGTAAAAGGTTTTGATACCGGTAACCCATATAAACATATACTTTGTGTTCAAATTTTCATGCAATTCATATTCAGGTACAAACAAGCCTGGATTATGTCCTTGGTTGAAGTTAATATTCATTGCTTCTTTGTTGAGAGGTTTTGAGTCAATAAAAAATGAAACTTGAATTAAAGGGATAATTCTCGGTTATCACGAAGCTTTTTGACCAGTGGCAGTGGTAATTCCTAAAGTTCTTCTTCTTCTTATTTATTAATGGCTTGTTCTGTGTCTTTCACAATTCTGCTAAAGTTACATAGGTAGCCTCTACACGGGAGATGGATTTATTTTCAAAAATTCCTAAAGTATAAAAACTATTTTGACACAATATAACTTCTAATCGAGTAATTGATGTGGGGATTGTTGTGTACTCATTACATTAAATTGTGTAATATTTTCAGTGCACTAGCCATTGACTTACAATGGCACTAGCGCAAGCTTTTAAATGGCATGTTATTGTCATATTATATTGTATGTATGGTAGTGCTTAAGGTATATTATTATATGGGTCGTGTATCATGAAATAAATGTCTGTAACAAACCTACTTTATGTAATAGACGGCCTTAAGCCAGATTGTTCACTTTTAGTTCTCTAAGAATCCGCTAGATGGCACTGACCCATTTGGCGTTATCTCTGAATCGCGGTGTCAAGATTTTCTCTCGAATGGTGACTACTCGAACACAATTTTGTTAATATGAAGAGAAATCTGAGAATACAGAGAGCTCAATAAGGCAACCAGAAGTGAGTACTACTACTCTACTCTACCGTACCTACCCGGATTTTCTGATATTTCGTACGCTCATATAGGGTGAAAAACCTCATCACGCGGAACGGTTTCCAGGAGTCGAGTCCCTTCTGGGAACAACTGCTCGGACCTGCCGCATATGGGGTGAAATTGTATTGGCGACATACAAGGTGAAAATACAAATCTTGTGAACAATTTGGAGTTTCACTTGGCTTGTTTTGGTAACCTCATCCAACGGACGAAAGAACCTCCCTCCTTTACATGTCTAAATAAAAAAAATAAAAAAAAATACTTACAAGGGATTCAACCTTGCACATCTCTTCAAATAAAATAAATAAATTTATCAGGTGAAGAACAAAGATGTTAATAGAGCTACTCATGGAAACAACCAAAGCTATAACCTGCTCACGCCAAAAACGCGATGCTAAACAGTATTTTGTGAGCAATGCCACACGATGCGTTGTGTCGGCTTTGCGATGCCTGAGCAGTGACGCTATGAGTGCGTTCAAACGGTGCGCGGCGAAGGAACGCGTATATGTCGGGTAAGGTCGCGTGTACACGCAAAGAAATTCGACGTGTCTGCTACAGAAAAGATGAGAATGGTCTTGTACACGACAAGAACTTTGTCCGATCTAGTCACGAAAACATGTCGTGTCTGTTGCAGACGAGAAAATGTTGAGTATGTGCACGATACGGATCCTTTCGGACAGAAGTGTGTAAGGTAAAATGTGTCAATGCATTACGAGTCTTCCAGGTAGCTGTCGTTTTACTACCAACCGACTGTGGGAAGAAATATCGATGCCTTACTTTCTCAAACTCGTATTTTATAAAGAGTGATTATTAAGGAGATGACAAAACTTTCTATTTATTTTAAATTTCTTAGGAAAGGTGTTCATGCACGCATTTCATTTTTTGCTTTAAGATACGAGTTTGAAAAAGTTAGGCGACGATATGTTGACTACTAAGCAATATCCTGTCCACGCGCATAAACGTTCGTTTACTGACAATGAACCTCACAGTCCAGTGCCGGGGCAGCGTACACAGTTCGTGTACAAACCACATGAATTCTTGCATAGATCCGGCGACTTTTCTTAGCATGGACACGCGCCCTAAGGGGCCAGAAGACGAAGCGGAGCCCTCTCCGCTTCGTCTTCTGGCTGTGGTGCGTATGTAAATGGCGTTACGTTGCGACACCGCATTGTTTGTGATACTCAACGCGTCGGCAGCGCCCGTGTGGCATCGGTCTAAGACTAGAGATGGTCATTATTAAGCATGCAAATGACCTAAACACAGCGTCAGTAACATTGTCGTCAAACATGTACGCCAAACATGCGTCTATTTATAATAATATTAAAAAAAACAATTCGTTACCTAAGCGTGTTAATCGACACTATTTCTTATAAGGCGACTATACGTCATCGTACGTAGGAATATTAAATAATAATACTATAAAATTTATACCACGCTTAAATCTAAAACGATACTGCTTAAAATATTTTCTTCTAAAATCCATTGTGCAGCAACTGCTGGTGTCTGACGCTGTACCTGTAAAAGGCAAAAAAAGATAAAATGAACAACCAACACACGTGCATTTAGTGTAGCGAAAATAGAATGTCTTTTAAAAAGGAGCTCTGGGAAAAGTGTTGGTAAAAGACTATTAGCGGGTAGAATTTATTTTAAAAGTTATCTCTTGCAATTAAGCTCGACAGATAATTAATTTCTTTTAAAAAGGCCTTTATTAATAAACAGCTCCAAAGTACGGTATCCGTTGAGACGTCACTTAGGCTTCAAGATGCATCTGAATCTGTATTAATCATCGGCATCTTGGGTGATACCATCTCGAGTGACCCTTGATTGATTAGGACTTAAGAATGACTTCAAATTAAACGCAGAGCGTCGTTTATTAATAAGCGGATATTTTGGCAACTTTCAAATGAAGCGTAATCAGTAAGTAACCGTTGATATTAACTGGCCTATGCATAGTAATAACGTACTAGGCAATATATTTTTATATTGCTTAGTACTATTATTACCAAACCAGACAAGATTTAGAAAACTTTCTTGTAAAATATGTATGCATGTAAACACTTTATTGTGTAACAAAAACAAATTACAATTTTATTAACAAAGAAATAGAACGTTATTTTACAAAGGGGAGTTTCACAAAGGGATTTCTTCCAGCTAACCTTTGAATAATTGAAAGGAAAATTGGCTCCTGAATCGGCAATAAAATCTAACAAATCATGAAATTGTATGCTACATAATCAATAATTAAACAATAAATTTATTATATCAAATGTACTATAAAATTAATGTATTAAATAAGACTATAACTAAATATGTGAAATATAAATAATATATTACATAATATAATATCATAGAACATAATATCAATATTTTGTACGCTCTAACATGAGGAGTCTGAATTATCCCAACATATCAAAAGGGCACCTCTGAAGCCCGAACCGAAGGTGACTGTCTGATATATAAATGTATGTATACTAACATAATCGATCCTAGAACCTCCACATCGAGTGTCTAGATTGCTAACAAATAGGCCATCGCGAGCAGTAACATTTAAGTAGCAGCAGAGCTCCTTGAGAAAGAGTTTGTCCAGGGAAGTACTGCCACCTGACCTATTTCTGCCGCCAAGCTGTAATGTGAGCATTATTACTGCGTTCCGGTTTTGAAGGTGAAATTTCAGGCATATAAGACTTGTGAACTTGTCTCTGGGTGACGGACGCAGTGACAATTCCCCTCAGATCTTTACGATTTAAAGTTCTAAGTGACACTGCAACTGTTATAGATGGGAGTGTCGCTTACCATCAAGCGCACTATTTGTTCGTCCCGTCACCTGGTATCATATTCAAAAAAAAAACTACTTCGCTGGCCCTCCGTTTAAAAATGTGGGCGCTGGGTGATGAAATCCCGGGTTCGATTAATTAAATAGGTAGAATAAATTTGGGAGATGACCTTTTCTAAATTGGTATCTGATCTGGGTATTCTGGGTAGTGCTCCAGACTTGATTTCATCAATCTGAGGCTTATATTACAGGGACCGCCTTAGTTTGAAACTCTGCAATTGGAGTAACTACGCAATTATTACTGCAGGTATCTATTTTAAGTTGTGACCTTTCCATGGCCTAAAACAATATTGATATACTAAATAGCAAAGACGATATTCCAATGGTACAGTAGCCGGGTTCAGGGGGTCGGGTTCAAGAACCAGCGAACGACACGTGCCTTCTCGAACAGCACCATTTTAGCATTTGTGCTAGTAGACGCGACAAACAAAATCATCTATCACTGTGTAACAAAATATCAAAAAGGTTCTATTCACATTATTATTTGGACATCTAGTTACCATTAAAATTGACCCATATAACTATCATCGCGTATAAATGACTGACTGACTTATAAATCCATGTATGCACGCCTATGTAAAAATGATGAAAAAGCAACATGTTACACCTGGTGGTATAATCTGTCGAAGTGCATATGAGTGAATGTATATACCTTCAATATTTGAATGCCTTCAATATTATAATGTTTAGCTGGATACAGTGAAACTATAGATAATTATTTTGTACATGTCAGCTTCTATATAACCAGTTTTTAACAATTGCTTAATGATTATAAAAATATTTAAAGAAAAACTATGGGAAAATCTTTCTTGTTTCTCTGCCAAAGTCAAGAGAAGAAACAACCAAGCTACTTTATGAAAACTGCGTAAAAACATTTTAATGTAAGTAACGGTTATGCCTCGTCTACAATGAAGTTAGTTAAATGTTTATTACTGCACCGTAGTCGTAAATGTGATAAACATTAACTGCTAAAGTAATATCGTGACCATAGATTGTAAAAAGCAACTCCGAGTAAGAACTTGCCAAATAAGGGGGTTTTGAACTTATAAATAATAAATTACAGTTATATAATTGGCAAGAGAAATAAATAACTAAGTTTAAAATTAACTGAATATGCTGATGGAACTGGTGTGGGTATGTTTTAACCGTCGACACAAAAAGCGGGGAGTTATCAGTGTTAAGTTTTTGTAGTAGCATTTTGTTTAGTAATTTTTTTTTTAAATAAAAACGATTGTCTTTTTCATTCGACTGTCTGTTTTTTTGTATGTATGTCACACGGTAACATACATACAAAAAAAAAACCGGGCATTTGGGAACCGATTTTTATCATTCGTTTTTTGTTGAAAAGAGGATACCTCAGTAGTGGTCCCATTTATATTTAAAGAAAATATTCTACCTGTTTTATGACTTTCGGTGTCGGTTTTTTTAGTACTATGCACGGCGATTATTTATCATTTATTCGATCTAATTTCTTTAACGACCTCCGTGGTTGAGTGGCTTATATGTATACTGGTTTTCATAGTGTCGAAAAACCCGACCTCAAAAGTTTGTGGAATTACACCTGTTTGTGAAATTTTACTGTAATCGGTTAACGGAAAGTGGGTGAAATCCAATAAACCAAAAGAACTACCGAAATCGGTTCACAAATATCGGATTAATTGCGTAACATACCCTTTTATTTTTTTATATAATAATCAAGGGACTGGACGAACAAGTCGTGCGCCTGGTGTTAAGCGACACGCCTGTCCAAAACAGTTGCAGTGCAACTCAGAACTTTCAATCGCAAAGATCTGAGAGGCACTGCCACTGCGCCCGTCACCCTGAGACATAAGTTGACAAGTCCCATGTGCATGTAATTTCAGCAACACCCTTACCCTTCAAAACCCGAACGCAGTAATGCTCACATTATTTGGCAGCAGAAATAGGTAAGGTGGCAGTACTTCCCTGGACGAACCATTTCACACGGAGCTCTACAGCTACTACAAATCTTCTTCTTAGGGTTCCCGGACATCAAAGCGGCAGCCTCCAAAGAGCGAGTGGTAGGTACTGCAGCCGAACCATTCCCTAAAAATTTTCAACGAGGAGTTTCGCCTTATACCAACACTTCGTGTTCCAGATTTCACCTTGGATGATAAGCTGGAGTAATTTCTAATGACGTGACCGAAGTACGACATCTTCCTGCACTTAATGGTGTTCATATATGGAAAGACAACATGAGTCTAGATTCCACGCAAATACGATTCAAATTCCACAGCGTTTTAGTTTATTTGAAAACAGCAATCCCTAAGTTTCTTGCTTGTTCTTCTCAAGGAAGTCGTGAACGAGCAGTAGCTTAATAATGACACTTTCCAAGTGTAAATCTATTATATCTATGGATTAAAATGATTATTTGACCTTGACTTTCAATCGTAAGCTCTACTTACGTAAGCCGGTCACACCACGAAATTCTCAAAATACGGTGGTAAACCCACATCACAAAAGCTGCCAGCATACACATAAAAAAACAGTCGAAGTGAGATTTGTTTTGCAATGTCAAGTGACGGTACGAACAAGTCGTGCACCTGATGGTAAGCTACACGCCTGTCCATAACAGTTGCATTGCCACTTAGAGCTTTAAATTGCAGAGATTTGAGGAGCACTGCCACTGTGCCCGTCACCCACGTCAAGTCCCAAAGGCCTGTAATTTCACCAGCACCCCTTCAAAACCGAAATTCATCCACCTCCGGTTTTTTCAAGTCGGTTAAAAAAAGCCAGTAACCAGCCACGTTCATCAAAAGAAACGAAAGAATAATTAAATAAAAATTGAGGGAAATTTATGGTTTCGTGTTAGTATGCAGTCCGTCTCTGCAGTTTACGACAAAACTCGTCCCGGTTAAATTTTTATGCGTTCAAATTCATTGCAGTAAAAAGTTTTGGGTTTGTTCTTTTAACTTTTATTACGTCGGCTTGGTTAAACATTTTTGTAAAATCTTTTGTTTTTCGCTCGTTACAGCCTGCGTCTGTGCGTCCTTAGGTTTGACAACCTCGGTGGCCCAACGGATGAGGAAGTCCCGGATTCGATTCCCTGTAGGTGGTCCTACATCACATTAAGGAAATTAACTTTTCTAAACTGGTTCTGGTCTGGGTGTTCTGAGTAAAGCCCCGGAGTGAGTTCTGTTGCTCTATCGTGTCAAACCGAAAACGACGGTATGTATTTTGTAGGTATGTTATGCAAAAACTCGTGAACCGATTTTGATGATTATTTTTTTGTTGGAAAGAGGGTACCTCAGTTGTCCCATTTGAATTTGAAGAATATATTCCACCTCTAAGGGTGGCAAACCAGGGAATGAATTACTTGAGGTCGGTTTTTATAGTACTCTGTATTGAAATATATATCATATATCACACAATGCGTTGCGTCGGCGTTGCGAAACCTTAGCGGTGATGCGGCATTGCACTACATATTATGTATGTAATTTCATAACAACTCTTCTTTCGTTGCATCGTTTATCGTTTTCGAAGAATCTTTCGTTGTCAAAGGAAATTAAATTTATTCGTTTTTCAATAGAAAAAGCTTATTATCAAAGTAAAATTATAATGGCCTGATAGATTTTTTAATATCCAATTTACAACGTAAGTTAAATGTATCCTTTTATGAAAAGGGGATATTTAAAATAACTAAATACTGGATATAACTTCTTGA